AGGTGTCCAAAATGACCATTTAGGAGTATGTTTGTTCATGTAAATTCGTGTTCAAAATATTTTTTTTCTTTTGTTGTAAATACCTGAAGAGCTGTCGATAGAACGACATCGACATCGAAGCACCTGTTAAAGAAACGACCAAGAAAAAAATATAAAGGCTTAGAAGTTTTGATACGGGATCGATTTTATACCTGGATGGTAATATATACACACACACTTTACTGTACTATATGTAGTCAGAAAACTTATACATTGTATAAACTATTTCTATTGCAAAATTATAAATGATGTTTGGTTTTTCGAAAATAAGACACTACTAACTAGGAAATTATGGATCAGCATTATTCTGTGTCATAGATTGGCCCTACTCATATTTTTGAATTTTATGTCCATATGTATGTAAAAATAATATTCATGATTATACTGATGATAACACTAATCAAAGTCCCGAAGCGTTTGTAGTTGTTGCATCATTTAATAAAAAAGTGCTAGCAAAAGAGTGTAGTATGTGATACACATAATGTAATTGGGAGTGCCGCAAGGAACGGTTCAAGGACCTCCTTTATATTATTTCTAGATGATAAATCTTGAAACCAAAATGCTTGACAAGGATAATTATTAAATATATTTTCTAAAATATATTAAAGTATGAAAAACAATTTATATTTATTAAATAGAGTTTTCTGATGAATCAAAAAATAAATAAAATACAATTTATCAAATAGAGTGAAAAATATTTTTATCATTTTTCGTGGATATGTTTTGAAGAGACAAGAGCCTACATAAATAAATTATATAAACAATAAACAAGAACAGACTTACTTATTAATAGTTCAATGACTAATTAAATTTTCTATAAATTTTTTAGTATTGACATCTTAATATAGTGAGATTATAGGAACAACTTTTCAGCAATTTTGTAGCTTTATCAATTTTAGTAACAACATAGTAGCGACTTGGTACTAAAGTAGTATCTGGAATATAGTATCAGTTTAGTATAATTTAATTCAAATCAGCAAGCAATCTTTTCGATTTAGTGATGAAGTCTTTATATCGAACAATGTACTACAGATTTAGTAGTAACATATTTATTTTACAGTAATAACGTAGTGTGGGCTTGTAATTTTTAAATATAATAGCATTTTAGTAATAATTTATAATATTAACATTTTTTTAAAAAAAACTCATAGTAACGACTATCAAAGTAGTTATCGTCTTAGTAAAAACACAGTATGTATTCAGTAACAAAAGTAATGTAAATTTAGTAAAACAATGTGTTGCAAAATTTTGTAACTTTTATAAATATCGATTTAGTAATAATCCATTAAAAAAAACTTATAACGTTTCAGTTAATTACTATTATTAATAATCTTTAAAGTTATCTCGACTCAAAATATTTTCGAGAATCAATTTCTTCCTCTCTTAGCACGTGCATGTCAAATTAGTGATATTTTATGGCTTTTGTTAGTTTTAAATCAAGCAACACCTGTAACCAGGTGTATAGTATACATTTCTATATATATATATATATATATATATATATATATCCGAAATCTAATCTTTGACAAGCTACTTAATAAAAAAACAATAATTGTCAAATTCCAAGACGACATTAACAAAACGATTTCAGACCCTACTCGAAGATTACACTTTTATATACAGACACATGTTTATATATATATATATATATATTGCTGTATTTTTATATATCTATCATCCAAACGTATGTGTATAATTTTTTGTTTTGTCATTTTTTAATCGCGAGCCATTTAAGGATAACATCTGAAATATGTGACTCCACGTTTATATATATATATATATATATATATATATATATCGTATACATATATATATATATATTTGTGTGTGACACAGGAGGTCATTTGTGGGTCTGTAAATTATTACAATATATTTTTAAAAAGCTGTTTGAATATTTATAAGCACGCTTGCATAAACTCAACAAAATTATATATCTCTACAAGTAATTTTTAAAAAGTTTTGAAGCACCTGATATATAATTAATATTTTAAAAAAATGATTTTAAATTTTTTTAGCGTTATTAGAAAACTTTTTTGTTTATTTTATCACAAGCAAGTCGAAGTCTATAATAATAAATATTATTCCTTTAAGATTTCCGTCTAGTCTTATTTATTCAAAACAAGTTTCGAATAAAAATTAGCTCTTATTGTATTTTACCAAATTATTTTGATCTCTATATAGTAAATATAAGTATTTTTTCCTTATCTAATCTTACAGAAAATATTTGCATTATTCTTGTTGAGATTTGTAGTTTTTTCTGTTACATTTAGCATAATCAACATATAATTTAAATTTATTATGTCTGTATTTTCTTAATATCTATTTTTTAGTTAAAATGACTATGAAGTCCTTACCAGGCAATTTGTGATTATATGGAAATAAAAAAAACAGAGATTTCAAGAGTTATCATCCAGAAATAATATAAAGAGGTCCTTAAACCGTTCCTTGCGGCACTCCCACATACAAACAATTCATTTGCACAAAACGCATCAATTTATTACCCTATCTATTATTTTTCTATAGTGGCCCCTTTATGTTCAAATTCGTTTTCCCCTGTTTTAACTATCCTATATCATATTTTTCGATCAGTGATAGACAGCTAGCCACACACACGGGTTCACACACAGAATAATATAATACACTAAGAACGTTTATTATAAAAATCGAGATAACGTTCTCGGATCGTTGACGAATGGATTTTTTGAAAAGGTGACTTGACATTTAGAATGACAGACGAACGGATGATAAAAAACTATTTTAGATAGAATATACATACATACATATGTAGAAACATATATACATATATACATATTAGGGTGGTCCCTAATATGGACATTTTTGAATTTCCTTGCTCCCAAAGGCTCAAATGGTTCCAAATTGATAAAAAACAATTCTCTGAAAGTTTTAGCTCTTAATATTAACGTTTAGATAGAGCGCAATTCAATCAAAGTTTGTATGGTAAGAGCATGAAAAAAATTTTGAAAATTAAAAAAAAAAAATGTTTTAGGTATAACATAGCGACAAATGAATGAGTTTTATTCATTTATTTGTTCGCTAAATTACATCTAAAAAACATTTTTAAAATTTTTGAAAATTTTTCCATGCTATTTCCATACAAAACTTTGATTGAATTGCGCTCTATCTAAAAGACAATATTCAGAGCTAAAACTTCGAGAGAATTGTTTTTTTATCAATTTGGAACTATTTGAGCCCTTGGGAGTAAAAATTCGAAAATGTCCATATTAAGGACTACCTTAATATACATACATACATACACACATAATATATGCATGCAGATTTATGTGATATTCAAACATTATAAACAGTATTGTTCAAAGTGATAAGTTAGAAAAAAAGGAATAATTTTAATTAATTTTTATAGCTAAACCGCTTCTCCTAGGCCTATAATATTTTAAGGTGCTCAGTTTGAAAGTGAGCTCTATCACTAAGCAAAGTTTTATCAAAATTTTAGAAGAGTAAACCTGAGGTTCTGCTTCTAAGGGGACTTCCATTAATCACGTGATCGATTTTTTAAGGATATTTAGTCGCCCCATACCCCTTCGTGGTGATAATTAAAATTACCCCTGCCCCCTCACCCACCAATCATTACGTATTTTTAGTTACAAGAAGAAATTGTAATTTTTATATTTTTTTTGTAGAATTTTTGGATTTATTTTAGTAACTCTGGTAAAATGTAAATACACGTGATATCTTGCTATAGCCCTCCCTCCCCAAGTAATTTTTCGTAATTTTTCATATTTTTTTGTAATTTTTTGTTAACCTTTCAACATACAGCGTCATCTCTGATACTGAGCATGTACTACAAACTAAGATTTTTTGTTTGACTGCTACTCATTTGTTTGATAGCTACTCATTATTCTCTGCTTAGTTAATTTTTAGTGACAAACCGGCATTATGTTCACTGTGATATAGTGCAAAAAAAGTAAAAAAAATAAGTTACTTGTTTCCTAACATTTCAATTGGAAAGCATCAAATCAATCACGTGTATCGTGCAAATTTTTATTTAATTTTATCAGCAGGCAATTTTTTTCTTCATCTTTTAATCACCAAACGAAATGTTACATAAAATGAAACCATCTGGTGGTGAAACGGAGTTCGCCCGGTTTGCTATGATATAAAAAATTATCTGAATACAAACAAAATATTTAATAGTTAGAAATATATATCAATTGCCTATTAAAAACTAATATAAACCGTTATTTATATAAATATGTGCATAACATAAAAACGAACATAGAAAACCGCGGTACAAATAATATTATGGGCGTGTTGCATTGTTCCCCATTCTAAATATACAAATATTTATTTATATATATATATATATATATATATATATATATATATATATATAAATGTGTATATATATACAGAAGTGAGAGAGAAGCCGTTTATTTAAGTCAACAATATCATAATAGTCGAGTCACTACCAAGTGACGTTTCGCAACGATTTCAATGGCCATTGTCAGGGAATTTACACACACGCGCTTTTCAATCGTCTTATTTGCTCTTTGTGGATATTGTGGTGTGTTTTTCTTGTTGTTGTTATGTTGTTGCTACTGCTAAACGGATATTAGGACTATTTGTTTAGGTGTAAATAAATAAATTTATGTTGTGACAATATGGGGAAAATTGATGAACCCGGGAGTTTGTTGTACATGTCCGATTGACATCGAGGAGCAGTGATATTAATTATAAAGCTAAGTTTGGTGTTTCGATATGTTATATTAAAAGACGTGTGTTAACCGATTTGGCCACACTTAGTCCTAAAATATTCGTGCTAATCCTGAGGTTGTGGGAAAGGTGCGATATTATTTCAAAACCTCGTAGAAACTCTGTTAGTTTATTTATTTTTACTTTAAAAAAAAACGCAAACGTTTTAAACGCAAAAAGTGAACTAGTAAATAGATATATAAAACTATAATTTTTTATTTGTATCTTACCTTCCAGTTTTGGTAATGATCATTTCTGTCCCGAGATCGTGGAATTTGTCCCAAAGATCTTTCGTTTCTAAATGACACCGGACCGATCGCAGGTCGTCACTGTTACACCTGTCTCCTCTCTGAAATAGATAAAAATTGTTAAATCATTTTTATGTATTATTTACATTAATATTTGACTAAGATCATTAAATATAATATTCTTCTACATTCATAATTTTAGACTACTTTGCTTTAAATTTCAAACTAGTGGGATGCATGGCATCGTACCTTAAGGCAAATTGATGGAACTTGCCGTACCGTAAATAAAAATCTGGATACGGAACCCAAAAAAATTACATAAAATGTGTACACCTTATTAAAATCTCTATCTCCGCTAAATGACATTTTTTTAACTTATTTTTATTGAGAGTCTATAATCTCTGGACCTGCGTTTCCAAAAATCAGTTCTTCATCTAATCAATACAAGTAAAATGTTTTTTGAATTATTAAAATCGGGCGCTCCGTTCTCTTAAAAACTGATTTACCGTTTTTGGCATTTTTTGCCTCGTATCTTCGGAACGGCTAAACCTGCCTTTGCCAAAAACTAATCAGCACGTCTCCTTATCAATACAAATCGAATGTTTTTTGAATTACCCAAATCGGTTGATCGGTGTTCCCGAAATCGTCGACGAAAATTTGTATCCGCTCACACACACATACATACATTTTTTCTGAGGTATGCCAAAATATTCAGAAACCTTTGAAACGTAAAGATATATAAAAATTTTCATTTTCGATTTTTTTGCGATTACTATAACTTAACTCCCCTACGGAAAGTTAATACTACCTCAGAATTTTAAGAATTAAAAATTATACTGGACGCGTGGACTGCATTTTTATGTGATTTTTTATGGTTCTGTAGATAATCATTATTTTCTTAATTAAATTTGATTAGAATGCGGTTTTATATTGCAACTTGCCAATAGGCATTACAATTATCAATTGAACGTCAATTTCAATGTTTAAAACAACTTTTCTTTTGTTGTAATTATATAAAATTATATAAATTATATAAAACAAATTATATAAAATTATATAAATTATATAAAATTATATAAAAATCAATAAATACAACTCGACATAGACAAAAATTTGATAATCAAAATTATATATTATTTTTATTTCGTTTTTACTATGACAATATATCTATAATAAATCGATCAACCGATTTGAATGATTCAAAAAACATTTTTCTTATATTGACCATCCCAGGTCAAGGATTTTGGAGATCCAATGAAAAAACGAAAGCATTACATTTGGCGGTCATAAATGATCAATAGACAAAAAAACTAATATTTTCTAAAATTTTAAAATTTGCTATTGTTTGAAATTAGGGTACGGAAAGTTACAGCAATTTTCCTTAAGGCGATACCATGCACCATTGGTTGAATTTTTGTTTTGTGTAAATTTGTAAACTCGTAAAGTATAGAAGAATGTGGCAAATTGGCAAATGTGCCCAAAAAAATCAAAGTTTAATACCACAAATTTTGTCTAATTATTGTTTCTTTATCATAGTTATCTTTGAGTAATCGGCCGAAAATTGAAAATGAAAATTTTTGCATTTCTCGACGTTTTGAAGGTTTCTGAACATTTTGGCATAACTCAAAAAAAATGGATGCGTGTGTGTGTGTCCGCATTTTCCGTCAAACTATTGAAAAATGTGAAAATGCCGCCAAGCTAAGCACAGTATAAGTGAAAATGTCGCACAGAATTATTTGCAAATGCGTTTAGACTGTGACTATACGGGAGCACTTTTTAAATTTTGTGCAAATTAGGCAACTGTTTTTTTTTAAATTGAATACGAAATGAAATGACGTTTGTTAATGTTCTGGAGATAAATTATGGATATTTATGATTTACATTTGATTTGCTCAGATATAACAAGATAGCATAAAAATAATGAAAGTTACAGAGTCTTTGTAATAATAAATTTGCAAACTTAAAATTTCTCGAATATTTCATTACGGTACGGGAAGTTTCAGCAATTTGTCTTAAGGCACGATGCCATACACCACTAGTTGTTTTTTAAATAATCAAGAATGCAACTCGCAGCAGGCAAATCATGCCCAAAAACCATACAATTATTCCCTCCTAAGTCTATTTCCCTTACCATGGGTATGTCCGGGCTGAGCCTCTCGCTGCCGCTCGGGCTGTTCGGCGGCGTCTGCTCCGTACCGCTCTCGTTCGGATTATTACTCTTGTTCCCGGCGGGATTGCCGGCCGAAACATTACCACCACTGATACTGTTGTTACTATTGTTGGACTGTTGATGTTGCTGTTGCTGTTTAGCAACGATCCTCGGACAATTGTTGTTGTTGATGTTGATGTTGATCGAGGAGGGACTCGTCGTGTGGGTCGAATTGGCGGTAGATTCGCTGTCCGAACACTGTTCGACGTCGACCTCGATGTCTTCGACGTCTTCGTTGGTCGGGGACACTGGTAATGGAGAAGGAAAGAAAATTGTTAATTGATTATAACATGTTAAGAATTTTGGACGTTTTTGGTGTATATTAGTATACAACTCTAAAAGTTGACTCAAGATCCTGCAATAAATTCGATTCGATTTTTAGTTTTTTTTAAAGGAATTTTAAACAAAGAATCTCATAAATTTATTTCTGGTAAATAATGATATTCTACATAAAATATCTAAAATCTGACTTGAAATTATACTGATAGTCAGAATTTGAGACAAGGAATTAATTAATAAGCAAAATGTCTATTTCGATGACAAGATTGTTTTAAAATTGGATTTATTTCTGGTTTATATTGGTGTTTTGCAAAAATAAACCAAAAAGTAATTAATTTGAGATGGTGCACCAAGGGTTTGATAGTTGAATTTTGAGACAAGCAGTTTTGTTCCTCGGATTCTTAGTTCTTCATCCATGGATCTACAAATTGGATTTATTTTTGGTTAAAGCCCTAACTATAAAAAGTTGGTCCAAGATCGTATTTATTTTTGATTAAAACCTTAACCATAAGAAGGTGGTCCAAGATCGTGTAATAAACGCATCATAATTAGATTTTTAACAAGAAATTTAGACATTTTGACGATTCGACTTTTAGTTCTTTATTGGGGTTTTTAAAGAAAGAATCTTACAGATTTATTTCTGGTTATTAATGATATTCTACATAAAATATCTAAAACTTGAAATGAAATGACACTGAGAATTTGATAGTTAGATTTTGAGACTTTTGAGTTTGAGGATTTCGGGTTTAGACTTTTGAATATACGATTTTTGGTACATTATCCGGAAATGATTAGAATTGTCGTTGTGCTTTTATTTCTGATTTATAATATTATTTATAATTTTTTTTTATGTTCTGCATAAAAATTTAAAAGTTGACTTAAGATCCTACTCCTGCATTGGATTTGGAGATGGCAATTTAGACGTTTTGATGATACAAAGAATCTTGTGATTTTTTTTTTGATTTATTAATGTTTTGTGTAAAAAAATCTAAAAGTTGAGATTTCGAGACAAGCAATTTAGACGTTTCGATGATTAGATATAAAAAATCTGTAAAAGCATAATTTTAACATCGTGTAAAAATGAAAAGACTATGTCATCAGTAAATCTACAATTTTAATGGAAAAATTACTAACTAAAAGTGTAAGAAATTTTCTTAAATGCAATGATAAGAAATTATAGATGATAAGAAATTATATGTTAAAACGTAAAAGTAAAAAAAAATTATAGATCCTTCTTTGTCCTGATATATTATGTCAGCATGAGTGATTTTACAATTTTGACAGAAAAATTACTAACTAAATGATTTTTTTTTTCAAAATGGTAGATCTATTGATGAATTTCATAAACATGAAAAAAATCATGTCGAAACGTGTAAACATAAATACACTATTGTTTTACTTTTTTTTACTTCTAAAATTTTATTCTATATATCTATTATATATATAATATATACATTTCGTCCAAAATTCTATTTTCGGTCCAATATTATATTTTTATGAAAATTATTAAAATATATATTTTTCATATTTTTATTAAATTTAATTCAATTACGTGATTTGTTTTTTCAATGTTAAAGATAAGATACATAATTATTAAACGTCTTTTGAGGCTAAAAATATTTAAAAAAATTGACATATTATATAACTCGGAACGAAGAATTTGATTCTATATTTCCAATTTGAAATAACGATTATAAACATACAGTTATTGCTTCAGTACAATAGCAATTCTTTTGAAAATCTCTAAGTATGTCCAAATTCCAAAAATCAAAAAGTTTTTTACACAACGAACAAAACTATGATTACTAATTCAACAGAATAATTTATGTACTAGTTATTTCTAATTTAATATTTTCTAACCAATGAATAAATATTATCAAAAATCCTTAATGATGGCTATTTAAAGTATTTATATAAAAATCATAATAGGTAGTTTTATTTATCTCTAGTATTTTCATAATATATCAAGTTTGTAAAATTGGTGGTCAATAGGCAATGGTAGTCAAGATGCAACAGTGGGGGCCCAGAACTAATACAATTTGTAATTTGTAAAATAAAGTCAAATGATATATTTGTTGTACTATAACTAAAGATGAAAAAATAGTGCATTTTATAAGAATAAGGCGACATTCACGCTTTTCGCCCTGAATAATTAAATAACTTATTCTATTCATAACCGTTTTTTCTGTTTGATTCGCCGTGAAATACCACACACAATGACCAGAATCATTTTTTTGAAATCCCAAATACAATTAGATAGATTCTTCGTTTCGATAAAACGTCAAAAATGTCAAAAGTATCAAAAATGTCGTCCCCGGGCAATTACGTATTATTAGTCAGATCACTGAGGATGAATTCGTTACGCCGGTTCGAGGGAATTGATAATTATACCGAAACCGAAAAAAATAGGAATCAAAATCTAAGAGATAGATTTTGGGAGCAGGAAACTGAGGTGTGAGCTTGATTCGATATTGATTTTTTTATATTGACATCAATAATTTTGATAAATGATTTTTTTATAAAACCTAAGTGGGTCACAATTTTTATTATAAAAAGCTTCAAAAATAAGATTTTTTAAAAAAAAAAAAAATATCTATGACATATATATATATATACTTTTCGATACAGATTCAGTCAACTATCTCAGTGCTTTATTTAACTTTTTATATTTTCTAACTAATTCTATTTAATGCAGGCATATTAAGTACATAATACAAATTCATAAAAATAAGTAACTCCTAATGATGGCATTAAATTCTGATCGAAACGTGTGATCAGCATTATAAAATTCCCACTCGATTCTAATTCCCAATTTATTAAAAATAAAACGCGCGTACCCCAAATTAACCAATAAATAACTAAAATTATTCAATAACTAAAATTATTCCCCCCATAATCGATTTCCGCACACGTTTCGATTTTAACGATTCGCCTTGCGACGGATGCCCATACCTCCGTTCTTATAAGATTCTTATCGGAAATCCTGCAGAGGAAAGAATTAACCTAATTATCGGAAATTACAGGTCTCCGGTAAGAGATAGAGGTCTCTTGAGGTCTCTCTCAGGGACCTCCGAAATGTATAATTCGGAAATTATTATTTGACAGAGACAATGAAAGGGTCTTCGAAGCCGACGTGCTCGGAGATTATGTAATTAGAGGAAAAAAATTATATGTGAATGGATATGTATATATAATATATATATATATATATATATATATATATATATATATATATGTATAAATATATGCGAGTAAGTGATTTAAAAATTATAGTTCTGTTCAAACGTTTCGTTTTTATCTATAGTGTCATCTTTAGAGACATTTTGTTTAATAAAATGTTGACCCCATGAAAGTAAAGTTCAGAAAAAAATAGCTACGTGTGATTTAGATTTTTTGTCAAGTTCACAAATTTGCAAAATAAATTAATATCAAAAAATTAAAAAAATTCTTTCTCAGAGTAAAGTAGAAATTTTAGTCAAGAAGCACCGATTTTTTTAATTTAATTTTAGTATTCAAATTTAAAGCATTTTATATTATTACCTACTAATTTTATAGTTATTATTCGGACAAGCGTTTCGTTTTTATTTATGCATCATTTTCAGTTTTTATTTGTGTATAACAAGAAATAATTTTACCTATTTTTTTTTTAATTATTGCAAAAATGTGAATTGTTGAACAGTTATAAAAAAATAAATTTGTTTTAAGATTTTTCTACATTTATTCTTAGACATCACTAATATAATAATTTTATTTATAAAAATCTATGAAAAAATATCATCAAACTTTTTATCAATAGCAATTTTGATCTCAAAAATTGAAATAGGTAAAATTTGAACAAAAAAATTAGGTGTTAGTAAATCAGATTTTTATTGTATTATGTTCATTATTAATTATAGAATTGTTAAAATTATTCTATTATCAAATAAGCAATAAATCTCAGAATGTTTGAGTAAATTGGAAAATTTATTAAGTGATTAATTTTAAATTATATCACATTTTTGATGATTTTTTTAAATACATCGTTACAATTTAAAAATGTCGAACTTTTGTAGTTAGATAAATCTTTCTGAACGTTTTTCTGTAATATTTAAATCTTTCTGCACGGTTTTCTATAACATTTTCAATTAGCTTTCATGAAGTATTTGAAATAATTAAATAAATAAATAACTGAGTAAATTATATTAAAATGAATCATTTTAACTGAATCTCGTAGATTGAAGTTAAAAATATTCCCAGTATAAAAAAAATTAACTTAAATTACTCATTTAAAAACTAACTGTGTGCATTTCTATAATAGTTAAAATAATTAAATAGATAATATACATTTTTTTTGACTTTTGATAAGTTAATCCTAAATTTAAAACAGATTTTGTATTTTTAACAAATTCATAGATTAGTTCTATCCGTCGCAACTTTTATAACAAAATATCTTATGCCGTAATATAAAACAATATCGCACTTTAAATTTAATGAAAAATAATTTCTAATTTTTTAGATTTCTAATTTGTAATAATTATTTTGTACTCTATATAATTTCCCGTATTATTTTAGTTCTGAGAAAATGCTTATTTAAAATCTTATACAAAATTCTTGGAAACTATTTTTTGTTGATAACTTGTAAATATTATTATTAGTATTATACAATTGAATATAAACTCATTAAGACGATTTTTTACAAAGCTGGATTTGTGTTTTATTATTGAAACATTCATTTATACCGTATTTACTGTATATATTAATATTATATATTAATTTCAATTATGTAATTCTACGAAAACATTTAAATAAAATCTTAGTAACAATTTTTGTTATTAACTAATAAATTTTATTATAAAATTCAACGAGGCAACAGAATTCCTGAGTTTATATAAATACCTATATTATATTTGTATTTAAATTCTTTTTACGATGATGTGTAAAAGAGTTGTTCTACAAAATATACTTGACATTGTCCCCAAAACTTCTAAATATCTTCTGAACCACTCTTTTAAACCTTTTACAAACATTTTTGTAATTTACCCAAAACCCCAAACAACCCTTACACTTATCAATTTTTCCAATTTAACCCAAATTTATATTTTTTTTCTATTTTTCAAACTTACAATTTTGCTGCTGCCGCTCCCTGTCCCGCTTGGCTTTCGACATGATAGCCGCTATCGAAAAATCGGTGCTACGCGTCAATTTATTGGGGGCGTTTGCGTTCGTGCTTGGGGGCGCGGGCGGTGCCCCGGGTCTCGGCTGTGCCCCCAAAATCATCTCGAATCCTTTAGGAATTTTTGAGAGCAAACCGCAAGTCTTTACGACTTTTTTTAACGGAGATATTAAGGGAAATAGAGGACTATGTCATCATAAAAGACACATTTAGTTTAGAAAAATTATTAATTTATTTATTTTGTACACTGCACTAAAGTTCACTGTGAGTTCATAAGTCTAAAATTTTAGTAGTAATTATTTGTAATAAATATGCTTTTGGGAATTTCTAACGAGAAACTCTTGATGAGATTTTTTGTAGTGTTTGTGTTAGTTTTAACACAAAACTATTTTACTATTTATTTACTAAATTAACACAATTCTTTATAATTTTTTCTAAAGTCCAATATCACCTATAACACGACAAGATCCGTACAAATTTTATTTGCAATTCCATGGTCCTGAAATGAACCCGGTGGGTTTTTAGTGTGATCTTGATGAAGCCCTGACAAATGAATTATTTGTTTTAGGATCAATTTTGCACTAAATTTATTAGCGTCAAACGGTTGTTGATATTTTTTAATTTAAACAAATTATGTGTTCTTCTAATGTGTATCACAAAACTTGTTAAATTTGTTGTCCAATGTGCCAAATTGTACAATGTTTGCGCTTCGACCGACTAGTATCCTTGCCAGCCCGAGTGTTTGACAAAGTTTTAGAACCACTTGCACTTGTTTCAAAAATCTACAAATTCACACAATAACAACTGAAACCTTCTTCAATCAATATCCATAAACCTTTCCCCACAATTTCTTCAAAAATCACATTTTTTTCCAAAAACCACACGCGCGTTTCTATGTACACGTCTACACGATCCAACAGTACATACGTTACTGACTGCTTCACAAATAACACTTTTCGATCTGCTCGCCCTACTCTTCACAAATCTAACCTCTAATTGGTCGGGCGTGTTCTCTACATAGCCTGCGATTGGTTGCAGCAGCGTTGTTTTAGGTCGTTCCTTTTTCCCGAGACAAAATATTACCCCTGCCGAGGTCAATAGAGGGTGCGCCGGAGGCGGAGTGTGAGTCTTCGGTTGTCGGCCTCTTTCTGAACTGGAGGAGGAGTACGGTGTTTGTGAGTGTGTCAGTGTGTGTGAGTGTGAAAAAGAGGAGGACTCGAACAGTGGTGGACATAAGAAGGGTCTTCGGGTAAAGGATAGTTGTGAGTTTTTGGAGCAGGTTCAGGATATTTGGTGTTTAAAACACTTTTGGAATTTGAGGTTATGACCCAAGAGGTCAATGTTATTTTATTTTGCAGTTGCAAATATTGTTATTTCGACTAGATGAGAATGGACAAGTTTCTATGTTGCTAATTTCAGGATCTGGACTGAATTAATCTGAATTGCACAATGTTGCTAATGGCACCCATCCACTAGGCAGTTTATGATGAGCAAGAGGCAGTTACAAAATAGAGATGAAACATGATGTCATGAGTAATATTCTCGAATTCGCAAGACATCGCCTATTATATGTTTCAACAAGCATTATAAAAAAATTAACAGTACAAAAGTAATCGAAATGATTTTCGCAGTTCTGGCAGAGTTCGGAGCATCCAGATTTTACCTAAATATTTAGCCAATTTTATGAGACTTTAGTAATAAAATGATCCGACACGATACCTTTTTTCATAATAATACAAAAATATATTTTTAAAAATTGCTTTAGGCAAAATATGTGTCCATATTGTAATCGTCCAAAAATCGAAATTGAAAATTCTTGCATTCCTCGACGTTTAGAAGGTTTCCTAACGTTTTGGCATACCTCAGAAAAAATGGATGTGTGTTTATGTATATATAACGAAACGTCGTCCAAACAATTTTTTGGTCACGTTTTCGGGCCGGATCAACCGATTTGAATGGTTCAAAAAACATTCGATTCCTATTGATAAGGAGATGTGCTGATTACTTTTTGGTAAAGGCAGGGCCAGGAAATAGAAATCGAGTTTTTGAGAGAACGAAGCATCCGATGTGAATGATCTAAAAAGCATTCAATTAGTAATGGTTGGAAGAAGTGGTTATTAGTTTTTGGCAAAGGCAGGCCCAGCCATTTCGAAGATACAGAGCTAAATGTGAAAAAACGGGCAGTTTTTGAGTGAATTTAGCGTCCGATTTGAATGATCTAAAAAAACTTTCTGCTTGTATTGACAAAACAATTGCTTTTGATGATAAAAAATTATTACATCTTTTTTTATTTTCTATAAAATATTTTTGTTATTTTGGATTTTAAAAAAATTCGAAAAATTACTCAGGCTAAGCACAGTCTAAGCGCCACTCTGGTACAAATTTTTACCCAAGTGCGTTTAGACTGCTAATGTACTGAAGATAAATTGATTTATTTATGATTTACATTTGATTTGCTCAGATATAACAAAAGATAGCAAAAATAATGAAACAATTACACTATTTGTAATAATATATTTGAAAACGTTCAAAATTTCTCGAATTTTTTATTACGGTATGGGAAGTTCCAGCAATTTGCCTTAAGGCACGATGCCATACACCACTAGTTTAAATAAGATTGATCAAATTAATTGATTACACTGCGCCTCAATTTATATCGGTGAAACTAACCAAAATTTAATACAACGATTTTAGTAACATAAAAGCTATTCTAAAAATTCCAAACAATTTGTGACTATACCTACATGTTAAATCAGCACTATAAAACAATATAGATTTTTTAAACTATTCAAAAGGATAGATTCATAAACAAATTCAAAGATCTCAGCTTGCTGTGCGATTATAATATCTTTTAGCTAGATAGTAATTCCATTTTTTTACAAGACAATAAAAAAGTGCAAATAACTCACGATTAGTACCACTCATTTCAGAATTTTGGTAAAAATTTAAAAAAAAAATCCTCTCTTCATTGTCTAGCTGGAGACAGTACAGTTACACATAGTTTATAGATAACACACATATTACACTTACTTTTTTTGGAAATGGTTATGTTTGTAAAATTATGAAACATTGTAAATTTATATATATATATATATATATATATATATATATATATATATATATTGCCGCGTGTCTGTCTACATGTATCCAATTAAGTTCGTCTATTCCCAAGGCATTTGCGGCTAGTCGGCAATTTCGACAAAAGGATCGATTCGAATCCTCTTTCATTTATATTCCTTCTGTGCGAACTACAAATCCTACCAAAAACCCCTTTCTATCACCACGATATTTTACATCTCTGGAAAAACATGCGCGAGTCGAACTCCTGTAAAAGAAATGAACCAGGAACAACAACTGTAATGGTAATAGATAATCCTCTTTTATAATAAGTAGAAAGTTATTTTGTAAAAAATTCCCATTTGATAATTTGATGCTTTCACGACGTTTCTAGTCATTTCAAATCGTTTGGGATCAAATTTGAGAAATTTATGTCATTTTCCCCTAGCCATCAATAGATGTCGTTTCCTCAGAAACATCGACATAGAGTTACCGAGAGAGAGAGAAAATGATAGAGAAACGTCGAACAAACAAACAAACTGTAGTTGAATATTTTCAGTTTGTTTTTTCGTCTCTCGGAACGAACAGTCGGAGACAAATTCCTGTGACCACACGCAAATCGAACAGCATGGGGTCTAAGAGACCCGAGACCAGAGTCCGAGTGGTAAAAAAGTAGAGGTCTATAATATAATCCACCTCGGTACTTACGTTTGTATGTATGTATGGAAATATGCATATATCAATTTGTTAAAGAGATCTGTAGGAAGTGTTTGGAATCATATGGAGATATTGTAGATATCAAAAAAAATTCAATTGAGTGTATAATTTATTTTCATCAAGCCGAAGGAGAATTTGCGTCTTCTGACTTCTGTCTAAATCTTGAATTTGAATGAATTTTCTTCAAAATGTAGTATAGACCGGTTAAAAAATCTACATGATTAAATTTGCTGATATGTTCTGTAAACATTGTTTTAAATTGTTTGGCCCTTTTTGATTTTTTTCAATGTCGTCCAAGTCATTTTATTAATTTTTCAATAGTTTCACCGATATAAGTTGAGTCGCGGACTATACAATTAATTTGATACAATAATTCCAGATTTTATGGCATTTATCAATTAGCAATAACTTGTAACTAGATAAATCAGCAATAGTGTCATTAATATGTACTAATTTGTACACATTTGTACTTTTAATAAGTAGAAACCAGATAGATAAATCAGTAAATTGCAATATCTGGATGTATTACTAATAACTTCTAGATTTACAAATAGATTGATCAATTGGTAATAACTAGAACGATTAAAAATAGTTCAATAACAATTTTGGACAATTAGCAATAACTAGATCAATTAGTTCCAAGTCGTTTGAGACCAAAATTGGAAAAAGTATGATCGGTAAAATTTGAGTTTTTTTCTCCAAAAACGGTTGCACTGTATTCACAAATTTTAAAGCCATTTGATGGAACTTTATCAAGATCGCCTTCGATTAGTTTCTGAAACTATTTTTTTCTAATTAGCAGATGAATTCTAAATGTTTTCATTGCATTTCTCGACGTTTTGAAGGTTTCTGAACATTTTACTGTCATACCTCAGAAAAAATAGATGAGTGTGTGTGTTTTGTATGTCCGCATTTTTACCACGTTTTCGGGCGCACGGATCAACCGATTTGAACGGTTCAAAAAACATTCGATTCCTATTGATAGGGAGATGTGCTGATTAGTTTTTGGCAAAGGCAGCTCTAGCCCTTACGGAGATACGGAGCAAACAAGAAAACAAGAGCAGAAAGTAGAAATCGAGTTTTTGAGGGAACTGAGTATCCGATTTGAATAATCCGAAAAACATTCAATTTGTAATGATTGGCAGAAGAAGTCATTAGTTTTTGGCAAAGGCAGGTCCAGCAATTTAGAAGATACAGATCTCAATGTACAAAAAATGCAGTTTTTTAGAGAACTAAGCATCCGATTTGAATGATTTGAAAAACTTTATGCTTGGTTTGACAAAAAAAATTATTTCAAATCTTTTTTTAATTTTTTGTATATCGAAAACAA